CGTCATCACTAGTGTTACTGGTCATGAAAAAGTTGAAACACATGAAATAACTCTGAACTAACTAAAAATGAGGAGGTTAGATGAGACTAAATTTTCCTTCGCAACGGCTCGAAAAGATCGGTTAATGGGCCCTTAAAGGGTGAATACTCCAACCAGGCCACTTGGAAAAGAGTTGACCAATCAGAACGTTACTTGGGAACAAAGGACAGTGATCTTTTTCTCAAGTAAACTAATAACGTGGAAGAATTCGCATAATAGATTTCAACAAAATTGAAAACCCAACAAAGTGCGAGTTGTTGCGAACCTCTCGGGAAACTTTGCTGTTTGCTGATTGGTTAGTTTTGATCCTAAATTTTGTACGCTTTTTAACAGTTTTGATTTGATTTATAATTACAGTAATTTGCTGTCAAGAACTACATCTCTAAGAGTATATTAAACATAGAGGAGTCGATATTTATGGCAAACACATTTATGCTTTTATATCAAACAGACCATTACTTTCCGTCACTAGAAGCTCCCAGTCCATTGTTTCCAGTTTACATTTTGATTGGTTAGTTTTCTTCTAAGTGGCCTGGCTCGAGTAATCACACTGTAAAAGCAATTGCTCATATAGTCCCATTTCTTGATAACCATAGGGCTAAAAGGTGAGCTCCGATACATAAAATTTTATAGAATGTTTTCGCTGAAATTATATTTCAAATCTGTGATAATCTTCACACACGACTGGTCACACCACTGTATTTTGGGCCAATCATGAGTGTAAAGAAATTATTTACAGTAATTTATGTCCCTCCAGTGTTTGATATGAAGCCTGCCAAACTTAGATTTTGTACTGTTACCGGTATTTGCCATACTTAATTATTTTTAAGTGCCGAGCCAAACTGATTCAAATGCTGCATGTAGGTTTGGCGTGTACATGGGGCAGCATTTGGAATGGGCCTAACAAACTGTATGCTATCATTAATTGTGAGCAAAACTAACTTTGATTCGCTATGTCCACTGGTAATGTTCTAAAGCAATATTATTCATAATCTTAGCTGCACAACATTGAGTTAAAATGCTCTGGGAGGTTTGGAGAGCACTTAAAGCTAGTCAGTTGCTCTTGACTATGGCTCAAGCGACTCTTATGCTTTTTTGTGCTCTCCAAACTTTCTGTTTGCATCATGACCCTGTGCTGCATGCTAAAGTAATATCCAGTCCTCTGGCTGTGCCTAACTTCTACAGATTATGAGTTCATCAAATAAGGCTGGTTTTCACTAGCACATAGTAATTACTGCATCTCATATGTTGCTTATGCTTGTGCTTGAACAATGGTCAACATCATTTTTTAATTATAATTCATTATAGCTCTTCAATGTTTAATTAATAAAGGTTCTTTCTTTAATTTTTGTTTCTTTATATTCTACTTTTAGGTTTGTTTTGGATATTGTTGCAACCCTTGCAAGGTAGGATAAGTTTTTTTATTGTGTTTTTGTCAACTGTCATAATTATTCAGTTCAATTTTTGAGCTACAGTCAAACCTGTATTAAGCGGACCCCATGTTAAGCAGACAGCAGTGCAAGTCCCATTTTTATTTTCCCACATTTACTGTAAAAAATACCTGTATTCAACAGACACCTCTATTAAGCGGATGCAGACACCTTAAACTTGACTTTTATGGTCATTTCTATTGTCAGAAACCTGTATCAAACGGACACTGCAAAAAGAATGCATGATTTTTTTTGTCCACGTTGTCATAAATTGTGTATTTCCAGAAAATATACATACCTCCCCCACAGAAGGGATTTTTTCTAAGACCCCCCACCCCTCTGAAAATTCCAATAAAGCTTCACAGATTTCTTTTAATTTTTTGGTCTTACAGAACCCCCCACCCCCCAGGAAATTCCAATCCCTTCTGTGGGGGGAGTATGGATATTTTCTGGACCTGCACATTGGTCATTTAAGTTTGCCAACAAACTCAGCTGTCACAGAAATGCAATATTTTGTTATTCGGTTTTGTTTTTACAGAACTTTTGTGTTTTTTTTTTGATTTTGTAAACCTTCACATGATTTGATCAATATAGATACTGTTAGATACAGATACAGATACTGTTATAGATATACGATATATACGATATAGATACTGTTAAATTGCTTATCCTCATATACTTGTTGAGAATTGTTTATGGAAATACGGTATTTCAGAGTTCTTGACCGTTCACGAGAATGCTATTTGACCCTTTCAAGGTCTTTTAATACTGACGAATATTAATATGACCCTTTTAAGATGAATTCTGAGGGAACCTGTTTTCAGTGGACACCCTGTATTAAGCAGACACTAGCACGGGTCCCGAGGGTGTCTGCCTAATACAGGTTTGACTGTACAGTGTACTGGTTGTGTAGTGTATGTTGTAAGTATAAATGGTCATTGTACATGTATTGCCAGGGCAATACATGTGACACAGATTGGAGAAGACAAAGGTGCCAAAAATCTTAACTTTTCATAACTTACTGTGATATACATACTCCAGATGTGTTGTCAATGTCTTTCATATAGTCTGGTGGTGTATGAATTGTTTCAGTTTTCTTTGTTGTGATCCAATTCAACAAAAGGACTCCTCTTACACTTTACATGCATTAGTGACAAGAGATTTATATTTATATTTCAAGTGTAAAGTCTGCTGGATTTTGTATAGGCTTAATACATGAGGTCATTGTTGATTATGCTGTTACCAGTCCCTGCTCTTTCTCTTGATGTTGAACAGAATGTGTAAATCCAGCAGTGGCTGACAATGAGGCATTGTTCAAATGTTGATAAGTGCAGCCAACTGTCTAGACTGAGGGGTGGTCCGCTTCATTTAGATGAGTAACAGAAGTGCTTTCCAGTTGCTCAGTGTCTGTCCTCACACTGAGATAAAATGCCCTTTTAGACATGATCATGTGACTGATGACTTCATCACACCAAGTTTGTGGAAAAAAGATATTTCATGGCACGAGTTATTTCATGTTATGTGGTACCCTCCCAGACTTCAAACTGACAAAATTATTTGACATGCATTTTTTGAGGTGCAAAAGGATGCTGGGAAGGTTCCTATTATAAATTTAATTATTAATTACAGTACAGTAATCATGCCTTTAATCATGTGCATCATTTCATCGGCTTATGTTACATTTTGTGGTAGCTCATGGAAGCAAATTTTTTAAAGAAATAGTCATGATACATAGAAATAGATAGAAAGAGTCCCACATATGGAACAATGTCATTACATAACTTATGGAAAAATTACACAATTTTAAATGACATGGACTCCACTTTTGTAGGTCATTGTTTTCAAAGTCACAATTTGCATTCTCAAGTAAGAATGTGGTGTACCCTCAGCTATATCATTTTTTAATGAGTGATAATGTAGCTAGAATGAGTTGTAGCGGTTAGTCGAGGAAGAAATAATTCACTCGCTCAATCAGTCAATCATTTGATGGGTGGTAACCTATTTTTTGGTGGTAATTCCACTTACCAGCCAGAGGGTATTTGCCTGACAATTATAAAAAAATGGCTGCCAAAGCGATAAACTTATCTTTCATGTTTGGAGTCGAACAAGTGCCCCCAAATTAAAGACTATTTGGTGTTCAACAAAGGTGGGTGTATAATTCAATCCATTGACCGCTTTGACAGTGGCTTTCATCGGAAACTCTTATGCTCAAGAGGTGTTTTTCTTCCACAAATTATTTCAAATTTCCACACCATCTAATTTTCTTTTATAATCACATTACTTTATGGCTTGAACATTTTATTAATATCTTGTTTATAAATGCAAACCATCCGTTTGCAGCTTGCAGGAAAACAAAGTCCTGCACCAGGATTCAAACTACCAACCTCAGCCCACCAACTTCATATCACCTGGCAGGATCCTTACTGCTTTGCCGATATGCAATTTATGAATCAGTTAATATGGACAAAAACACCTATAAATTTATCAAAGTTAGGTATAAACCGCTTATTGATTGATGACCTCCATGTGCTTCAATAATTTGCACAGCAAACAAAGCAAAAAGCTATGGTTTCAAATAGCAGTTGTTTTCAGCTGGAAATCACTCAATATTCTTTCCAAAGACTTGTTTTACTGGCCATGTTTTGTGTTCATGGATATTTTTAGATGCTGGACAGGTTTATCTAGACTGCCTTGTGTCCTTTGGTCAGCCCCTTCTTCTCTTACCAGCTGGAGTCCATCGCATGGCTACTCATGAAATTTCCAATAATGGCATTCTGTAGATTTGGTCAATCTATTTCCACCTGCATATTTTCACTACATAAGGACAGGCATAACAAAATAATGCCCTTCTCTGGATTTCAGCATTAATGATTGTATTTTGCTAGAAGTTTCTTTGGCAGGTTTCTTTCACAGGTCACAGGTCACAGGTCAACAAAAAATATGCCAAGACGTTATAAAACAGATACATACAAGTGCGTCCCAAGTGTAACTATAACGGCTCCTTTCCGGAAAAAAAAAAAAAAAAAAACGCATAGGGAAAATTAGCTGTAGCACTGAAATAAAAAAAAATTGATCCAAAGAAAGCCAAGTTATTTCTGTTGAAAACATAAATACCTGTGACCTGTGACCTGTGACCTGTGACCTGTGACCTGTGACCTGTGAAAGAAACCTGCCGTCCAATATTCATCTATGCAAGAGTTTGGTTAGAGGACATTGCACTTGTATAAATGGATCTTCATTCTCCAAATGATCTTGCCTGGCTTTCCAGATACTTTTCAATGCTGCAAAGGGGCCTCTTGCCTTGCTTGTTCTGGCATTGTCCTCTGTTTCAGAGTTTCCACCTGTTGCCACTTAAGTGCCAAGATAAGTAAACTCTTTAACCTCCTCCATGCCCCTGCCGTTAATGTAACTGCACTTGCTGCCTGACTGCGTGGAGTTTGGTCTTGGTGTATTCACTTTAAGCCCATCTTCTCTGCATTCTGAGCAAGATCTTTGTTTTGCTCTGAATGTCCCTGCATTGGAAGGTAAGACCCTCATAATCAAGAAGTTTTGAGGTCTTAGTGAATGTCCACTAAATGCCTCTTTTACCTTTTTGCAGTGTTTCTTTCACAAGCCAGTCAATCCCGAGAGAGAATAAAAATGCAGAGAACACACATCCTTGCTAAGGCCAGATTTAATGTCAGTTGAAAATCCTTTGAAAGGTAGTTCCTGCAGATGATGCTGGATTAGACATCGCACTATATAGCAGTTTAATGCTACTCATAATCTTAACTGGAATACCATTACGCCTTAGTATGTAGTTGGTGTCATGGTGTATACTATCAAAGGCCTTTTCAAAGTCTATGAAATTGACACTGACATGCACAATCCATTCTTGACACTGTTCTAGAATCTAACATAAGGTGAAATTGTGACTGGAGCAAGAACTTCCTTTCCTAAACCCTGCCTTTTTCCCTATGAAGCAGTAGATCTACTGCTACAGAGTCTGATGAAGATCACTTTGCTGAAGACCTTACTTGTAACAGATAATAGGCTGATCCCCTTCAAGTTGTTACAGTTGTGAAGATTACCCTGCTTGGGTAGTTTTACAGCAATCCAGTCATCCAGTCTTTTGACAATTCTTCCTTTTCCCATATATCCTTGAAGTTTCTAGTAAGTGCTTCTACAATGGTCTTTCTTACTCTTTGTAGCATTTTGGCACTTCTACCATCTGTACCTGAGTTTTTTGTGCTTTAACACTCTTGATGGCACGCACTCTTTATGTTGCCTGAGGATAGTGAGTCCATGCTGATCTAATAAGTTTCATCTTTACTGACAGGTAACAGTTTTCAACTCACACTGTTGAGGTTCTATACTCAAGGTCAAGAAGTAGCCTTGCTCACAAAATTGTCTACACCTGCATGGTTCACCTGGTGAAGGGTTAATTAGCCAATCACTCATTGCATGTGCACAGTCCGAAGACTTGATTTCTCATTGATTTAGAAATTCTTTCCCCAGGGAAACCTTGTTTTTTCCAAGTTAAAATGGCTTCACCTAACTGTGGCTAATTTGAACTTCAGTGACCTCAGATAACCCAGCAATGAGGAAGTAGAGTTTTGGACTGTGCACATGCAGAGTATGATCACTTAATTAACCTTTTGTCAGATAAAGTGCAGATGTAGAATATAATGATGTTTTCTTATGGTCTTATTTGGTTGATAAAGAAAACATTACATATCTGAAACCAAATTGCTGTTAGTAGTACATACATGTAACAGCATATGTACTCACAAAACCAGGAAGTTTAGCATTAACACCTGTTGACTGAAACTGCCAGAAATTTTTTGCTCTTCAAACTCATTGATCTGGAAAATGTACCACCTTGATTTTCGTGGGTGTGTGTCTCGCTAATGTTATGAAGGGAAATTTCACATTTAGTTGGGGTGCTGTAGGAAAACAGATGGCAACTGGTACATTTAACATAATTCGTAGTGGACAAAAACTTTAACAACTCTCCTGAAAATGTGCACAAAAAAGTGTGTACATACCTGTAGCTTGTGGATAACAGCATTATAAAGGTTTAAATTCAGCAATAGCATGTCGTAAGGTTTATTGTATTTTTTCCCTGTCTTCCAGACCATCTTTTATTACCTACTGGCCTGCTGCACTGGAGGAATTGTTTTCCTAGTCTCCTATTGGCGTCCAGACTGGGCACTCAAGATCAAGTGTTCTCCTTGCTCTTTGAATAAGGCTACACATATGCTCTTGAAGGCTAGTAACAAAAAAACCTAATGTGATCTGATTTGGGAATAAAATTCATCAACAGATATCCCTAAAACAGCTTCAAAAGAATGGAAATTGAACAAATGTTCATCATTGAACAGTTTCTCACACTGTTTAGATATTTTATTGAAGTACATGTTCAGTTGTAGATGTATTCATGATAAGAAATGTAAAGGTTCAAATGGTACATGGATCAGAAAATTCTGATAGATTCTTTATGAGACATACTACATGTAGCTAATTTCAGAGCTTTACATGTTATGGTAGTATTTGATTAACTGCTGTTCAGAGTTTCCATTTTTAAACAATTATTGTTAATAAGCATTTGATTACAAAATGAAAACCAGCAGATTAAAATTAAATGGTTGTAGTCCATCAGATTCAGGTACCCTGCACCTATGAGGTCTTCTTGGTAGGAGAGTTTTTCATGTCCTTTCTCTGAATTTCAAGCCTTTTCGTGTAATAATCTTGGAAGTGCGCACATTGCTGTTCAAATTTCAACACAAGTCATAACCTATCAATTATATTGTAACATTCTTTTGCCTTTGTGTCTCCATTTCAAAACCATGTTACCTGTCAGAATTTCACCAAAACAGGCAGGTCAATCATAACAGGAGGTTCTTGAATCCTTAAAACCGATAGACTGTTGGCATGGGAGCAGTTTTTCACATACATCTTCTAAAATGAAAATAGGGTCTGAGGGAATAGTTATTAATGGTCATTTTTGGCAAGACATCCCAAATTTTTGTTAAAGCTTGAACAATTTGTCAATTGGATACGTATTTACAGTAATTGCATGTATAACAATTACAGAGTTCTGTTGCGATTAAGTTCTTGAGTAAGAGCATGTTCAGTTAAACATTGTGTTTCTAAATAAAATAATTATGGACCTATATAAGTCTGCTATTTTATTTTTTTGCAGACTTGTTATGGAGATTGGTTTGTGGAAGAAGTCATCAATTTGGACAGAGTAAGGTAATTAAAGTACCCAATCCATTCAAACCTTGATCAAAATAATTAAAGCCGTTTAAAAGAGTGTGTTTCTGTCAAAGGCCTGTGGGTTTATAGTTGCCCCTGAGAATTTTATATTAATAATAACAATAACAACAACAACAACAACAACAACAACAACACCAGCACCAGCACCAGCACCAGCACCAGCACCAGCACCAGCACCAGCACCAGCACCAGCACCAATGCTAATGCTAATACTAATAACAATATTCTTAAAACCAAATCTATTACCTAGCCTGGGCTCAATGGCTAATTTAAATGCTACTTTTTTAGAACATAAAATTTNCACCAGCACCAGCACCAGCACCAGCACCAGCACCAGCACCAGCACCAGCACCAGCACCAGCACCAATGCTAATGCTAATACTAATAACAATATTCTTAAAACCAAATCTATTACCTAGCCTGGGCTCAATGGCTAATTTAAATGCTACTTTTTTAGAACATAAAATTTCAGAGGGAAACTATCAGTCAACAGGCCCAAGACATAAACACTCTATTGTTTTTATTATTCACCACTAAAATGTTTCTGCCGTGGCAGGCGTAAAAACTGATAACAGCATGGATTACTTTTTCTTTTTCTTCCTCGTTCTTTCTTTGTCAATTAAAATAATGTATTATGTAAGACCAAAGAATACTTTGGAAGTGTTTTGTAAATGTATGTTTGTCCAGTTAGATTAATCGGTAGCCTTGATAACCAAATTAAGTACCAGATGTTACACTATTTTCTGGCTGCCATATATATTGGTGGACCATGGAGGTACCATATTATGGTGGCTCCTTACTGGGCTCTGTAAATTTATACAAAGCATTTTGACAAATGTCTAAAATCTGGAATAGCACACAGATTTAAAACTTGGAGAAGTGTCCTCTTTTTCTCCTTTGATATTGGATTTTCTTGATTTTATCTACTGGATGGTTTTTGTTTTAATTTTTTTATTGCATGATAGTGATAAATATCCTTCCCTTTTGTTGACAAAAATTAATGGGCTGTCAATACGTACATTCTTTATTGTTGCCTCCCCAATGGGGCTTTTCAGGAACAGTGACTTACACTAATTACAATAACATTAAAAGATACAATGAAATGAATAGAAGTATTCAGACAGTTATAAATATATTAAATGTAGATTGATATTTGGAGTCAGACTAATTCAAACACACTTATTTGCTACTCCGAGTTTCATGCTACATGTACTTGTGAAGCAGTCATTAGGCAACTGCCAAAAAACCTGGTTACATTCTAAAATATACATATTTCATAATACAGTGAAACCTGTATTAAGTGGACACCCTTGGGACCCTCATTAGTGTCCGCTTAATACAGGGTGTCCGCTCTAAGCCGGTTCTAACATATTGTGCAGTAGTAGTTAATTATTACCCCTTTTGTAACGCAGTGTAACACAGTATACGATCAAAAACTGCTCATAACACAATGTTCAGTCAGTCAATGAATCAGTCTGGAATAATCTACATAGTATAGTTAATCATATGGTTTCAAGTTCAATTTGGAATTAACTTGCAGGAGTGAGTGTTTTAAAAAGCTGAAATTGTATGAGCTGCTTCAGCAAGTGCAATTTCAGCTTTTTAAAAAACTCACAAGTGGAAATTTCTTCCAAATTGAGCGAGTAAAAACTGTATGATTACTTTTTAATAAATATAAACATGAAAAAATTCACATGGAGGAAGTGCCAGAAGATCTTTTCTTGGAGCCACTTTCCCTCATTCGAGAAAACTTTTTCCAAAGTTTCCACACAAAATCTTTGTTACCATTTTACGCGATATCATAGGCTTAGAAAATTTCTTATTTTTTATCAGCCAATCATAATCCAGAATTACAATGTGTAATTTGCACTAGTGTTACATTTTTTGCACTGGTGTTACAATTGAATGGCACTGCTCTCAGCCAATCAGAATCGAATAATTTTTTGAAGTATATTATTAGCTTTGAAAGGATATTGCTAAACAGTGTTAAGGAGTCTGAGCTGAGCTTTTAGAAGCAGGAAGCCCTTGAAGTGTCCACTTAGTGCAGGTTTTGTGCAGCAAAATGGCTTAATATTGGTGTCCGTGTCTGCTTAAGGTGGCTCAAAACAGTTTCCAGCAGTTAGATTTTGATGGGTCGTTATAACCACTCTTTATCAGTTGATGCTATAATCATGGTGTCAAAAAACTGCCCAATCATTGGTGAACACGTTGTTATCATTTTCGTGGCACAATGGGTTGCGTCTTACCATGCTTATGAAAATTTGATAATATAAAAAATTTCCCTGTGCTGTTTTTGAATTATAAACCCCTAAAGCTTTAATTAAGGGTGTTTTTAGCATGTCATACCATTGCTATGGTAACCTATTGCATCACAAAAATGATAATATTGTGTTCACCAATGATTGGGAAGTTTTTTGATACCATGATTGTAGCCTCAAGTGATAAAGAGTGGTTATAACAACCCATCAAAATCTAAGTGTTGGAATCTGTTTTGAGCCACCTTAACAGAGGTGTCCGCTGAATGCAGATTTATTTTACCGTAAATGTAGGACGAAAATTTTGGGACTCAAGCTGATGTCCACTTAATAGAGAGTGTCCGCTTAATATGGGGTCTGCTTAATACAGGTTTCACTGTAGGGAACAATGCCTTCTGTTGAGATGTGATTAGATGATGGAAGTGCTAAATGGTTTTGTAAATAAATTAAAATTAAGCAGTCATGATATTTAACAGATATTTCTTAGAGTGTGTACAGACTTTTCTATGATTAAGTGTTGCCATTTCTGGTTTACGATGTACATGTATGCATTTTTCCCATAAACACAGATTACATTTTTTTGTTGATATTTGATTATTTTGATTGTTTCGCAGATTTTGGTATTTTTGTCTTATTTTATTTGGTTTTCACCATAATTTACAATGCCATATTGGTCAGTATCGTTTCCATTTAAAGCTGAGATTCAATGGTAAAACTATTGACAGATAAGTTCTTAAATATATCTTTGTACAGAGCCATCATGTTTGGTGATCTCCCATTTTGTTTTGAGTATTAAAACAACTGAAGAAGCATTGCCTTCTGCTCTTGATGTAATAGTTCATCATGGCTATTTCCTGGCATCAGAAGTAAACTAAAAACTTGGAAACGTGGTGTTAAGTGGCATCTAATGACAGGTTATGCTGTGGAAAGGCGACAACCCAAAAGAAATCTGCGCTGATCCAAGCAACACATTGAGCGGATGTTTACAGGGCCACTCAAATCAAACGCAGAAGTGGAGAAGTGCAGCTATTTGATCATCTGTGTTGAAGGAAGGGATATCGTCAACATGACTTTTGTGATCTGACCTCTCTGACTTTGACCAAAAGAAAAAAGAAAAGTACTTTGAATGTTTGAGAGTCACGGAAGCCCTAAAGCAAATTCCACAGTCAACTTCAAGACTCGTCAAAAACACCATAGGGAAATTCATCATAGCATTATGAATTCTAGCCCTAGACTGCAATTTGAAAGACCCAGACTAAATGATAAGAGACTGAATAGTCTTTTAGATCTACATCCTAAGACATCATACCAGCTAAATCACTAAAAGTCAGTTATGAGATAAAAGTTAATCTCAATCATCCTGGGTAAGGCTCTACAGACAGGGCCATACACACTGAACAGAGAAAGATGGGCAGATGATACCCAACACCAAAACCACCTGTGGTCATTTAAGTATGCTATACAGACACAACACCCCCACACCAGCAGTGATGCACGCATAAAGGACAAGACTCCAAAGCAAACAAAGGATGCCATCCCGATAAGAGACCAGCAAGATCTGATGATGCTATACCCTGAGTATTTTAATGGCACCAGGAAGTTTCAAGGAGGTTGTCATAATTATTACAATAATTATTGACCTCAAAACTCTGCCAGTAATTCATCCAGCACAAGGCATGCCAATCTACCACAAGGAGGACATCAAGAACAAATTAGATGATAAATTATGGTCAAGAGTGGCATCATCACAACAAATTGAGAAAGATAACCTGCACCATGGGTTAACAGTCTAGTCTTCTGACAGAGACAAAATGGGTGGTCGAGACTCTGCCCACATGTAGATCCCAAAGATGTCAAGGTAGGCATTTGAAGAGAACGCCGTGTTACCCCCAAGTAAAGAGGCCATGTCATGTTCCATGTCCACTCTGGAAGAGATCCTACCCAAGTTGACTGGAGCTACAGTCTCCTCCAGTGTTGATGCAAAGTGGACTACAGTAAACTTCTGAAAGTGATGACCCTCATTACCTTTGGAATTAGCAGCCTTTGGGGCTCGTTACTTTCGGGGGGGGGGNATTTGGGGAACAAAAAATGGTATATAAAGTTGGTACAAATGAGCTCTTTTTATGAAATAGAAAACCGAAAATTTGTAAAAACAGTACTTAAAAACAAAACAATTCTTCGTTCCAGTCTAAATCTGTGATTGCCACTTAAACGCTAGCCAAACGTGAGTGAATAATGGCGTGAACTTGTGAATTAGTGTTTTAGGCTTTTTTAAATATTTTTATTTTCATCAAAACTTAAGTATATGAATAGTGTTTTTTTAAAAATATTCTCAAACTCATGAATAAATCATCAATGCTTACAGAGTGTCATTGTGTAGGTAGGCTATTGCAATTTTTACAGAAGTTATTTTGGGCTAAAAACTTAAGGAACAACAGAATTTCTGATTTTTTTTTACCATATACATGTAAGATTCAAGTTTTATTTCATAATAATCATTATTCTTATGACAATGCGTTGTTTATGAATACAAATGTGATCTGTGCAACGTAGATTATGTGGGCTATACATGCCGACACCTATTTCAATGCATTAATGAGCCTAAGCATTTTGTCATTGGTAAACACCTGCAGGACATACACAATCTGAGGAACAAAGATCTCTGGGTCCAATTTACAATCCTCAAGAAATGCCGTCGGAAACTGGATTGTTTAAGTTATGAAATGCTCTTCATCAAAAATAAAAAAACCAACACTAAACACTCAGTCTGACTCCATTAAAGAAAACCTTTTTATTTGACAGTTCAAGTGCACCACGCTTGGAATTTTTATTTTTATTCATCGATTATTTTTATCTCTTAATCATATGCACTGAGACCTTCACAGGTACATTCATTATATAATGAATTCATGTAATTTATTTTATTTGAATTTGAGAATGATGGCATGGAGCCATTGAAATGTCATTCTTCAATATCGCTGCTTTTTATTCTCAATAATAATTATTATTATTATGATTTACCTTTACATGTGTACATAGCCACTTAACGCTTGTAAATGCTTACAGTATATAATATAATTATGTAAGAAAGCTACTGAAATTGTTTTACAGAAATTATTTTAGGGAAAAAACTTAAGGAACAAAAGAATTTCTGAATTTTTTACCAGCTACATGTAAGATTCAAGTTTGTACGAAAAAGTACTCAATTAAGTTTGTTATTATTATCATTATTATTATTATTATTATTATTAAAAATCAAATGTTGTTTGAGTTGAAATTTCACAAGACATCTTTCAGACCAAAATTGACCAAACATTTGAAAGGTGCAAAAGCATGACAGGAATTGTAGATGAGCCCAACTGCAACAATCATGGTGTTCTCAAATGATGACAAGATCCAGGCCTGATACTAAATTCTTTCTGAAGCAGGAGATTTTATAGCTTGCAAGCAGGCTCACCTTTGGGTCACGCGTGCGAGTGGCAAAAAGCAAAGTGATCTGGTGGTAAAGAGTCTGGTGAAGAGGCACCAAGAAAGTGAGCCTGCCTTGATCTCTGTAATTTTTTCATTCCTGCTTTGCCTGAGTGAAGTGAAATACCATCGGTCAAAAAGCAAGAAAGGCGAGAAAACTGTCAATCTATTATGTTTGACGAGGAGCGATTAGATCCCCATGGAGTCGGTTATTAATCGCACGTTCTCACAATAAAAAATAAGTCGTCCACATTTGGAGTCAGAGGAAGAGTTGAGTGCACATATTACTGATGTTTTAACAAAGTTCCAGTCTATTTCTGGTTAAATTTCAAACTAAAGAGGCAGCAGGAAATAGCAGTTGAAAATATGTTAATGAATCAAGACTTGCTTGTTGTGTTGCTGACTGCATATAGGAAGAGTTAAATTTTACAAACGTATGTGATTGCAAGCACCTAACAAAACAACACAAAGGTGTTTGTCCATTTACCAGCATCATCAAAGCCCAGAATTTCAAAGCAAGATCACTTGGAATCAAGTGTGTGTCCTTGCTAGACATAAACTTTGACGGTTTTTCTTTGGCAGAACTTTATCAACAATGGATGTCATGCCCGCATGTTGTCATGAAAAAGATTTACAATTTTCCCGTGAAATCTGAGCTGCCAAAGTTTTTACTTCTGGTGGAAATTAGCGGGCTTATTTTTTCTGTATTTTCTGGGGTGGAAATGAAAAATTTGCAGAGATTAGAGCAGGCTCACTTTCATGTCTTGCAGCGTTACCGTTTGATTTTGCGCTAGCGGCTGCACAACGCGCGCTTGTGCTCTGGTCTGGTTGGATCTGGCAAACTACATGTGTCCATTCATCCCAAATCTAAGCGCACTTACAGCCCCACTGAAAGTTGCCAAATTGACTGGAGCCCAGCTAACCCCTCTTCTGAACTGGCTTTCCAGTGTCCAAGACCCTCCTTCTGCCTGGATTTCCAGTAATTTTCTAGATGTAAATTTCTTGAACCTTCACACATGCTTACAAGCAAAAAACGTTCTTCCAAGCTGAAAACAAATTGAGGCCCTCAACCCTCACCCCCACCTGCCTGGATTTTCATGGTAGCATACCATCCATCAGGGGTGTGTGGACGTTTTCTGTAATAACCCAATAATTGATTTTGCAGTTATATATATACTGTCTGTGAGGACAATTTTAACCATGCATTCAAGAAAGAAAATTAATAGGGCATCAAACGGGTGTGCCCAGACTTCATGAAAATGGCACTGTTAAAGGTATTTATCTCTCTCCCAGGAAGAGAGAGAAGAGGGAAGAGATGTTGATTAAAAAAATTTGTCTGTTTTTTATAACACTCTCCTTTTTTTACTGTTCAACCTATAGATCACCTTCCAATCCAAGACTGTCACTCTCATTTGATGAAAGTGGTAATTGCTGTGATGAAGCTGAGGTTAGTACATTTACGTAATTATGTAAAGTAATGTTATGCAGATGGCCATGTACATGTAGGTTAACCGAGTTACATGTATAAAGTAAATGGAAAAACTATGTGACTGTTGTGCATGTGGGTGCTTGTTTCTGTTTCTCTTTTCTTTTATTTTTTTGGGTGTGTATTTTCCTTTTTTTCCCTTGTTTTAATGAAAAGGTTGCAAATTGTGCTTGGGTCTGTTTCTGTGCTAGCTGCGCTTCTCTGCTCTATTGATTAGGGTGCAGATAATCATGAATGGGCAGGAGTGCTCTGTACTTGTGCTTTGTCAGCAATTCTGCTGGACTTAGTTGACCCGGTCTGATTAAGTGTGGATCAGTAGATTAGTATTAAAGGATCAGAACCTGACTCTTTTGCCTTTTCCATGATGTTCTTTGCCATTTTGACCATGGCTTTGATGAAACCATTCGTTTGAAGGTACCTTGGGCTTGAGTGTTACACCTGGAGCCTCAAATGCTCCGAACTCTCCAGCTACAAATTGAGCTCCTTTGTCTGTGTGCACTACTGCTGGAATCCCATATTCTGCAAAGTTTGTCTTGAGGAGACCAATCACGTGACCTGTGGCTGTAAGAAATTTACTGATATAACTAGATAGTGGTAAGAAGGATTAGGCTAAGAAGGATATTCAATTATATTGAATCTGAGCTTGACCCATGGCATGCAAGGTGCAGCATGCGACACAAGGGGTTCCTTCTGTTGAGCTGGCTTGTGTTTCTCACAAATGTCATATGCTTTTACTGCATTTTTGATGTCATCCGAGATTCCTGGCCAAAACACTGTTCTGTGTGCGCTTAGTAGGCTGAGTTTTCTTTTCTCCCGAGTGCCCTGCATGAAAATCTCTCTGATATTGTGCTGGGACGTGGGAATCACTAAACGATGAGCTTTGAATATCAGTACACCTTTGATTGCTTGGTGATAGAAGCGCAGAAGGCACAATTCAGCAGACATGGCATACCCGAAGTGATCTGAGGTGACGGGGGTCGGCAGTTTGGTTCTAAGGACTTTATAAGATTCTGCAAAGAATATGGTAGTACCCACCTCAGTGCCAATGGTGAGGTCAAAAGAGCAGTACAGACAGTAAAGTGGGGCTCGACTTTCAGGAAAAGACCTTGTGGCCAGTTGGCCCCTAAGTTTTCAGATTTAGTCGCCAGCACAAGTAGTTCAGTGAAAAGCGTGAAAAGTTAGTCGCTAGTGAAAAAAATCCAGTTTCATTGGTGAACCCAGTGGTTGCAACATCCAGCTTGAATAAGTGCCCTCCCTTGAGCTACCAAAAGTAAATTAGCGCCCGGGATGCTAAATTGAATTATTATGGTATGAACAAATTTGCGTACAGTGCTTTGCAGTTTCAAAAAACACTGTCCTCTCTGCTGCTAGGTTGAATCTCTTATTACCATTTTCAACTCGTTATTGATTCTAGGACATTATTTATGACTCTAGAACATTTAGAATTTGCCTCAGTCAGGTTTTGTTTTGTTTGTTTTATATGAGAAGAGAGATAAGGTGTTTTTGACCGATACAGGCCAGTGATATGTGCTTGTATTGCATGTCTACAAGGTTGCAGTAATAGAAAACATGGCTCCTGTATGTTACACCGTCTGTGTGTCCTACAACTGGTGCGATAATGCGCAAGCTGCATAATCTTTCTATGTCATCTCTATAGGCCTCTTTCTTCTTTTCCAGTGCTGCCCTGGGTGGGGGGTGTTGTAAGGGTTGAGCATAAAGTTTGAGTTCAATGTGGGGCAGTTACTGACAGTGTTTCGACCAGAGCGCGCCATTGCGGGAATCCCGTGTTGCAATCAGAGATGGCCCCCAGAAAAACGAAAAAAGGGCCAATTTGGCCCCTTCCTTTTACAAGACTGCAGGCTTAACACAGGCATAATATTTTAAAAGCCATCCCAGGACTCGAAGTTGTGATTGATACGGTCGCCAATGCAACTAACATTTCATCCTTGCCGACCAAAAATTCTGGTTTAGTCGCCATAATACGGGATAATGGCGACTACATTTCTCTGTGTTGACGATCAATAACGGTTATTTGTCACACATTATGTCCTTCTAGAAAATCATATTGAAAGATCTTTGCTTTTAAAACATTCAACATAAGAAAAGAAGTCAACCCGTCCTGTTGCTTTGGTGTGCTGATTCTCTCACATCGGAAAACTTCCAAATGGCTGATCATGTTCAAAATCGCCCTATAATGCATTGCAAACCCTTGATCATTGACTACGTCATGTATGCCTAAGGATTGTTCTCTTGTAATGCACGGATCGTTCAGACTAGCAACTTTATTGTGTAGAAACACTTCAAAAAGCACTTACTATTAAATTTTATCATAGATCCTAATAAACTGCTTTATTTTCCTTGGTACCCTAATGCATTTTCTCTTTCTGTAGCTTTTAATTTATTGGCCCCTTTCCTAAAAAAATAGGCCCCTAAAAAAGATCTTCAGCAGCCACTTTGGCCCTCAAGTAAAATTTTCTGGCTGAAACACTGAAGTTACTAATGCCTTCAAACACATCTTTAAATTCTGATAAGACATACTCCTTTGTAGCAGACAAACAGTGTCTTTTTCCATTCACAATAACTACATCATTCATAACTAAATCTAAGTTTGGATGTAGAGCATTCACACTTATATGGAAATTTGTGAAACATTTGGTAAGGTGGCTTGTATACCACTGGTAAGTCGATGAAACCAGCTCGTTGCACCGTTTTTCTACCTGGGATTAGATATCTCTGATTGTCTGTTACCTGACAGGTTGCCATCTGTAGCTGCATACTGCTGATGTGAATGTTAACTGCACAGGCCCCCAGATTTGTTTAACTACATGTATTCATGTTCACTCTCTTTTTTTTTTCTGCTAAGTTCATTGCTATGTCTTTTTATGGGCCCCTACCAAATTTTCACAATTCAGATTTTTTTACATTTCAGGTTTATTGGTGTGTATGTAAACACCATGAATGTTTTTTTTTTTGTATGACAGAATGATTTTTTCATTTTCAGAGGCTGCTCTCCAATTCACAATGTTGGGTGAGTGATAAGAATTCTCAAGTGCGTACAAAACCATAAATTGTTTAATTATTTGTTGAAAATTCCCCAAGAATTTGTAGAGATTCACTGAGCCTGATTTAAATGACATTGGTGTTACTGTAGTTTCCAGAGATGAATATTGTGAACTCTAAATAGATGAACTAAAACATGGCAAAATTTAGAAAGCAACAGGCAAGTGCTTACTTGCAAACATGTAAGCACATACAGTGCTGTACTTGCAAATAAATTTATAAACCAATTTAAGGCTGGAAATGCATAAACACTGACTTTAAACAACATAATCACTAGGTACCTCTGGCTCTTCTATGGCTTCACGAGCAATTGTACATGTAGCAAGTGTCTACATGTATACACGTAATGTGTAGCTCCAGTCTGAGGAAAGTAACAACTAGATCTGACATAGTTCAGTGACTGTTGATTTACACGAAACCATTTTCTCGTGTTTCAGTTACCTTGAAAGCCATTTCTTGAAAACACTTTGGTCCAAGGTTGTTGCAACATGCTTCCATAAATAATGTTCCAAAATGTTTCAAATGTGCCATGCCTTAAAGTTCTATAACTGCCTCTTGCAAGAATCATAGTGGTGATAATCTGAGTTTCTCAGCTATATCATATTCTTAAAAAATATTATATTAGATATTAATATTATATTATATTAGTGGTTATTTTATGATTTTTCTAAATGGCATTCTTGTTTTCATTTGGTTACTCTTTGATTTGATGGTCAACTCGTTCCCAAAGGAATTGGTAACTGATTAGAAGTTGGTTGGGAAATATAAATCTAAGTCATGTATTTCAACTACATGTACATGTATCATTATGTCAACTGTATGAGATAAGTAGTTAAGGGGGTGCTTATAAGCTCAAAATTACCATTTTTCATTTGATGAGGGGTTTGTATGAGTAAAAAGTAGGACAAAAGTGGATGGGTTAATAAATTCAAGGTGGTGGCAGCAGATGGCTGGAATATGGAAGAGAATGGGTGGAGAAATGGGACAACAAAAGCTGTGCATGTACAGTGAATTGACTTTTCACATGGGGTGTTGTAAAAACAAAATAAAAGTAAATTTTGGCATTGTGATTGAGGTGTAAAGAGATCAATGGTGAAACTGGTGAACATGTATTGAACATTATGAAAGTTTGGGGACTAAAAAAGATTGTCAACCATGACGTCATGGTAGACATGGTTCTGTCCAAAGAAGATATGCGACAAATGATCTCTTGGGCAAGAAAGTAGAAGCTGGGCCAATTTTTTTTACATTGCACGAGACAATGGTTTCAATCTACATTCTTACATTGTAAATAAGTACTCCTAGCAAAATAGGTCCGTAATGCGTACATGTGGGCTTATGCTTAGTTTTATTCCATTTGGCTGGGGTTTGTTTTTAAATGTAGGTATCTGGGAGTTGAATTGCTACAAGTGAGGAGGCAATCACTGGAAAGATAAAGATGTCTACAGATTTTTTTGGATTTCTGGTATCAACATAGACAAGTTGTAGCAATTTTTAAGTGGGAAACTCATAGGCAGATTCAGCAGAGGGGCCGAGGGGAGGAGCTGAGGAGGCCACAGCCCCCCTTTTTTCTTGTATTTTCAAAATGTTTTTGTATGACCCCAACCCTTCTAACCGTCCTTTGAGTGTTGTTATAATTATACAATCAGGTTTCAATTTTATTCAATTTTGCAGCTTTCTTTATTTAAAATATATTTTGTGTTAACAATTATAATATATTATCAAATATTCAAACAAACATAACCCAAAAATTAAAATTCGCGCTAATTGTTAACGCCAAATGTAACATACGTTTCTTTCGGTTTGAAATGATGAGGATCACTGGACACGAATATTGTCACGCCGTGTTCCTTGCTACACTGCTGAAGAGTGAAATATTTCTCTGAAGTTTTCGAGGAAAGCAGAGAAGACACTGTTTACATTTCATCGTGAACCAGGTGAGTATGTTACTTATTTGACCTAGTTAAACGTAATGGGTTTTTTTTTTAGATCTGTATCTGTCTGTTAGCAGGCAATGTTTGAGCTCTGCCTTGGAGACTTTGTTTGGTGATCATCTGCCCCAGCAAAAAGGCAAATGAAGTAAAAAATATTAAACTTTAGCTTATATTAAAGCACTCAATGTAATGATTTGTCGCAAAAGGTTTTGCATAAAATGATTTATAATCCTGAGTTAATTTCTCGATAGAAAATTCTTACAGAAATGATTAGAATCATTACAGCAATAACAGTTTGCTGATGATGTTTCAAAAATGGATCAGTTGTTTCTACTTGTGCCAGGTGAAAGTGAGTTTTAAAGAGCAAGCTTGATTATCATTCGGTGTTTTTATGATAAGTAACGTTTCCCTCCTAGAATGTTTCACTGTAGGACTCAGCCGTTTGTTACAGGGTTCCACACTAGATGTTATTTAGGCAACAAGCATGTTGACGTTGTGAAGGAACAGCTGAAAGGTATGTGCAAGAATGCTAAAACAGTATTTGCAAGTTCTGTGTATGAAAAGATCAAGAAGATGGCTAAGAAGGCAAACATCAAGGTAAGCATCCATCGAACTTCTGGTAGGCAGACATTAAGAAACAACATCAATGCCAGGACACCAGTCGCCTACTTTCGATTGGCAATAGTTCTTCCCTTCCTTGACAACTTGTTGGAGCAAATAAATACCCGCTTTAATGGACTATCAGAAGTGGCATTGCTTGGACTGCTACTGATACCTGCCAACTTACAGCAGCTTAAGGAGTCTTCTCAAGAAAAACTTATTCAGTATTATTCCCCTGATCTGCTGTCCCCAAGCAGTACATCACAGGATCTGGTGCTGTGGAAGTGCCTCTGGTATGTTATTCTGCGTTAATACTATACATGGGTTACCAAGTTTATAGTGAAACTGTGATAAGCTGAAAAAAACGATTATACCTTGTCTTGAAGTATGTGTTAATTCTTGCTTTTATTTTTAGGAACAACGCCACCGTAAAATCCACGACACTGCAAGAGACGTTGAAAGCCTGCAGCTCAAGCCTCTACCTCAATGTCTACACAATTCTGCACCTCCTGTTAATCACCCCAGTCACAAGTGCAACTGTTGAACGTAGCAACTCTTCACTGCGCTTTGTGAAGAATGTTTATCGCAGCACCATGGAGAAGAGCGTATAAATGCACTGTTGCTGCTCTTTATTCACAAAGACATACCTTAAAATTATAATGCAGTTGTTGAAGAGTACGCCAAACGAAACCAGAGAAGGATGACATTTATCAATCCACTGCAGTGATATATTTTGATTAATACTGGATGTATAAATGCAATGCAATGACTCTGTTAACAGTTCGCCTACCACTAACACTATGATTTTGCTTTGAAGATCGTTTTATGAAATGCTCTTTAATTCTATCTTCTGAAACGTCAACGTTACTTTACTTTGCATCACGAATACGCCCACAATCATTTATGCTGCATCTCCTGAAAAGTGAAGTTTTCATTCGGGGGGAAGGGTGGGAGACTCGGCCCCCTCTTTCTGAATTTTCTGGATCCACCCCGAAATTTATTGCAGAATACTGTTTACTTACTTACGTTATCCTCCAATAATAATTAGCTCTTAGTCCCTATGAGACGTAACACAACAGCAGTCTCTCTTCATTTAGCCCTGTTTTGTGCAGCATTCGATTCTACCTTTCAATTTACTGGAATCTGTGGTATCTGCCATGCTTGGCCTTTCAGGGCTTGACTTTCAGGAAAAAACTTTGGGGCCAGCTGGCCCCTAAGTTTTCACATTTTGTTGCCAGTACAAGCATTTTAGTTGCCAAAAATTATTGGCTCTGCAGGCCTTATGCATATTTCCACAGAATAGGCGTTACAACAGCACAAATCACACGTTTTGCCTGGGTAACCAGTTACCATTTTTTTTCAATAATAACAGGGAAAATAGTTAAAAGCTTCCATGTTGCAAGCTTTGATTCATTACTTGTCATAAACTTGTGCTAAAGAAAGTTACAATTACAGACTTATTGAAACACAAATTCAATTGAAAACAAAACGAAAATTATGTAAAATTGCCGACCTACATTTGTCCAAGCGTGTCCTTGTTAACATTGGCATTCAAAAGTAGAAATAAAAGCTTAAAAATCCATAGTAAACATTGGATGGCTTCTCACATTGTCCTTTGTCAAAAACTGAAACTCTATAGC